ATTTGCCGCGAGTTTCAGTATTTCAACCAAAATTAATAATATTATTTAAGACAACAAATATGTGAGGAGATTCCTACATCGTAGAAACTGCAAATAATATATATACGTCTAATATATTGGAGATCGAAGTTGCAGAAAATGTCAAAAAATTCATATGTCATAGGGTTGGAGGAGGGCTATTGTGGCCAACTTTCGGCCATTCGCACATCGTGGACATCGGCCAATCCTAGAAGGCGATTCAGTTCCTGCAATTTTTATAAGGTAAGATTTGAATAATTCGGGTTTGACGAACCCTAAAATTTTTCTCAGTTTTAGGCAAATCTTTCGTCTGTTTTGTAGAGAGGAGGTTGTAACTTTTGTTCGTGGGTTGATGGTCCAATGTGCAATCGTTCAAAGCAATTAATTCTCGGGCGTCTGCGTAAATCAAACGAGTTACGCGATCTCGTTCAACGATTGCAAGATGAAATCGACAAACTGAAGGAGGAAAAAAGATTGTTGAAAATTGAATACAAAAAAATAAAAGAGGCAATTCAAACCAAGGGAAACCAAACGACATGTTGGCTGTTTGTAGTAGTTTGCATAGTCTTGTGTTTGTTCATGGTCAAGAATTCTATTTTTCAATTAAATATAAAGAAGATTGCATAAGTTAGTGTTCATCAGTGTGTAATGGTTGTTTCCAGGCATTATTATCAAGTGTTCAATATTTGTTAAGTTGTAGTGGTTTCAATGTGTTTAAAAGAGTTGGGTTGTGCACACTGAATCAAAAAATCTCGATTTGATTTTTATTCGACTCGGTCGGTTTTCGGCTTTCAGTTGTTTCGGTAATATCGGTCGGTGTTTGTATCAGATATCAAATGTTGGAAATAACCCAACTGACCGACTAATATATATTTATCGAATATGTATATATATATATATATATATATATGTGTAATGTATTAAAATATACACTTATGGCGGTTTTCAAGCCTATTCATACAAAAAATAAATAAATAAATAGATAATTAAATAAGCCCAATTACAAATTTTTCTAGTGCAAACCCTAAAAATTCTAAAAATGTAAGTGCTAGTGGCCTTGTTTGTCGGGCCCAAATCATTCACCGACAATGACTCAAATTGACCGGAAAAAGAGACAACACCTCTCTCTTACCCCGCGTGGGGACATTTATCTCGCCATTCTTCTCTCTAATTTTCAGACAGAAACGGGTGAAGAAGATTCACAAAATGTAGACGCCTAATCAGAAGTTAATACATTTATCAAAATCATTCCTGGAGAAAATCTACAATTTATGGTACACGATTTATTTTAAGTTCTGTAATGTGTTATTTCTGCTAAACCCTACACTATCTTACCCTAATTTTTTTTTGGCATACATTTTAAAGATATTGATATTGTGAATAATAAGCTATTACCGATGCAGTTGATGGATATTTCGATGGGCTTATGCCTATCATTTGTACATTCCATAGCGACACTATACATAGTGGAATAAAATGGGATATGAAACTGGAAAAAATTGGTGATAGGTCGTGTTTAACTGATGGATGGGTTCCTTTCAGCCTTCAAAACGAACTTTAATGGGCTGATTTTGTGGCTTTCAAATTAGTTAAACCGAACAACTTTGAGTTTTACCACTTCGATCACAGCTGGACTCAGCAGAATCGGGTAATGCCCAAGTGTCATGTACCCGAAGAGACTGGTTGTAGTCACTCACAATTGGTGGAGGTTAACCGTTTTATGTTAATTAACATCTACCGCAACAACAACCATCTCGTAAGATTTGTGTATCTATATTTGGTTAATGACTTGTGCTTGGTTTATATAAGATATGTTTGTATGTTAAATATTATACTTGTGTTTACAAACGAATTGCGTATCTCACATCACATCCGTATTTTTCTTAGCCTATCCCCCTATGATTAGGTGCACTATGGAACATTTGCTTCCAATTGAATGCACCTTACAGAACAATGATGTGGATGACGCCTTCAAATGGCCTATTGTAACTAAGCGCCTTGGAACAAAGATTGGGTTTGCTGATGGTCGGGATGACTTTTCGAGGGAAAATTCAGTTAAATATTAGTAGATCCTCTTGTTCCAACTTGAAAGCCCAAACATGTTCATTTGTTTTTCAGCTAAAACTATAATTATTGTAAGAACTTTTAAAACTCACAATATTAGAATTGTCGTGCCCAAACAGGTTCATTGTATACCATTTTGACCTTTCATGTGCTTGGAAATACTTTAGATCTGTTTTGGGAACTTGCAATGAAGATGATGAGGAATTGGATGAGATGGATGAAAAAGCTCTCGTTGGTGGGTTCCGTGTCCAAGCTTCCATGACTCTATGTACTTGCAAATATGTAATTTTATTATTCTATCCTTCTATTTTTTGCATGTATTATAGACAAAAATCCAATTTTGGTTCTTTAAGTTGATCATTGTCCATTTTTGGTACACCAACTTTTTCACTCATTAATAATTGTACGCTATGTTGCAATTTGTATCATTTTTAGGACATTACTCATCAAAAACAGTATGTTATGTTGCAATATGTATTCTTTTTTGGGACATTAATCCCAAAAAATAATGAACCATTTTTGGGATAAGGTCCCAATAATGATACAAACTGTAACATAACGTACTATTTTTTTATGAATGGAAAGTTAGTGTACCAAAAATGGACAATGGCCAACTTAGAGGACCAAAATTGAATTTTTGCTTGTATTATATGTAATTATATTGTTGATTTAGTACTAATGCATTTTTTATTAAATCATTATCAAACAGAAAATTCCATCTATATACTGGAATCAAGAGTTGAAGGGGAAATATGATGAAGTTGAATATGTTCGTATTCGGTGTGGGGACAAGAAATGGATCATCGAGCTGAAGAAAGAATGGACCGAACACATCTTCAAATGGCTGAAAGCTTTCATCCAATATGCTCAGATAGTTCAAGGAAGTACTATCACTTTTAGGAAAACAGAAGTTGAGGGCGATGATTTGGTTTTCGATATGGATTTTTAAACAATGTCAATTGATTTTGTAGGTTGTGGTGGAAGTGGATGTGGATGTTTGAACATAAACTCCAATCTATTGTTTTTTTTATTCATTTTGTGGCTTGCAATGCAATTTATATAAGGTTCAATGGGGGCTGAATGTCATCTTATAGCTTGCACTGCATTTTATATAAGGTTCAACGGGGGCAATATGTCATCCAGTTATGCCAGTTTTTGTTTCCAATTCTTGGTGCATGTTTCTCCTTTGTTTGATGGTAGTTTATGTTATTTGTTGGTTGTCATCTAGTTATGACAATATACGGTTTTGAATCTGAACTTGTTCACAATTTTGTTGTAGACTTTTGGTATGTTGCATTAGTCTAAATTGTAAATCAATGTCCACAATGTAGATGCAAATTGAAATTTAGGGTTAGCAAGTGACATGTCCATCAATACACAAAAAAGTGTCTTCAAGCCTCTGTAGATCACTATGATTTAAATGTGTGACAAATCCATAGTACATAACAATTGTGCCACAAAATCGATAATAATTTCACAATTGAAGAGACAAAAATTATTTTTTATAATTCCGAAAAAAAAATCATAAGGTACAAGGACAATGGCCAGGAACACCTTACAACATATCAATTAGTGAATTGTTTATTAGTGTTTTCTTATAGCACCGGCTGTGTTGCTTCTTCATCTAACAGGCGCAAGGTACTTGTAATTTGCCTCAAGTCTTCAAGGGACTTCTACGATAGCAAATCTATTTACAAATTTACAAAACAACATCAAATCACAATAGATTAAATTATCATGTCACCTAAACAGCCACACTTTGCCCATACTTTACAGTACAGAAAGGAGTACACCAGATTAGAAATATCAACATTAAGGTCACACATAATTACAGAAACTGAAGAAGGAAAGGT